GACTGCAGATGCAGCCGGGACCAACGGCTTAACGTGCCTTCCGAAGCACGGAGGAGCTGGAGATAGTAAATTTTTGGCCACCCATCCAATGACCGACCACTGCAAAAGTTACTTAACTTCAACGATCGCAGCCGAACGCGCTAACCACTTGCGCCATCGAGCTCCTTACTGCATCACAATTATATAATCATCCTTTGTCAGAGCGTGATGGTTTCATACCGTGGCCGCCTATTTATGATGCAAGCGAGCTCAAACGTTCATTCATGAGTGCAAATCCGCACCGTGAATGCACACCGGCAGTTGACATCAATGGGCCCGGGTCGGCGCCATTGATCGCGCCATGGGCTGTGGAGTGGGGCGCACAGGTCACTAGGTCGAGGGGAATGTTGAAGCAGGGGGTGTGGCGCAAATATATAAATAGATATTAGTTTTTAAGTAGCCTTATAAGACCATTGATGGATACGAAAACAAATTAATTTGAGTTTCTTTAAACCGTGGCAATTGTTTATGTAATAGATGTTATTAACTTTAACCCTATTTGGTGAAGATAAAATTAAGAAGTAATTATCATTACCATGTCCGTAAAATCAGTTGTTGTTATATCTAAATGATGTTCTCTCTCTGTGTTTACTAATTATCGTATCTTTAAAGAGTGAGGGACGTACAAGCCGTTTTCTTTTTGTTGCGATCTCCCATACAACTGACGTGATTGGTTTACTCTTTTTTGCTTTATATTATAATATAGTGTCTAAATGTTGTATAGATAATGGTACGGAACCCTTTGCACACGACTCCTAATCACACTGCCTTGCATTTTTTTGCAATAACAATAGAATTAGACATCACGTGAGTTAAGGCATTAAATTTATTTGATTTTACTTTTATCTGAGTACAGCCATCAGACTTACAAAATTTAGGTTCTCAACAATTACAAAAAGGTATATGCAGTAAGATTGGTCGGATTGGACTATAAGTTCAGCCACCAGACAACCTTCGTTATTTCCCAATTATGATAAAAAATCTAGTTATTGAGAACTGCCGTTTACGGTTTCAATTCAAGGCTAAACAATAAACAAGTATGAATGGATAGTGGTAGCAATGAATATACTATTGCGGAAGTCATGAATGAAATATTTTAAGTGGTATTAATCCAGCTGTATTCTATCAAAGTTACATAAATATATATGTAGCGAACATCTTAGACATATTTTTCTTTATATAGTTTTTATGCTCAGTGCTTTATGTACTTTTGGTATATTTATGCCATTGTTCAGAATAGCTTTCCCGAAATAAGGTTTGTCATTAAAATTGAAAATACGCTAGTTAGCAGCAAATCTAATACTAGTACTGGACGAAAATTATTGTAGGAATCGGAAGAACAGCTGCTTGGAAAAGGTCACAGGTTTGAGCCCCGTCATAAAGTGCTTGAGCTTGACAAGTATAAAAAAAATACCTAATACAAATTGCATAATGGTTGTATTAAATGAAGCCCCGTATACAGAATTACTTTTATAGTAGGTAAATGTTAAACGTGTGCTTCTCTATTTCGGTCGGTTCGTTTTTTGAATAAAAAAATAGAACACTCACATGCTAGTCTTTACATAATATAGAAGTATGAACTCAGTTTTCCGTCAACCGTGCGAAGGCCGCGGTATTTCGGGAGGCGTGACGTCATGCTTTCCACGCGCGCTCAATCGCTCGTCCTCATCCAAAATCGTAGCAAATAAACCCTTTTTTAATTTTAACGCTTTTAACTTTTACAAAGTTCCACGAAAATGTGCTATTTAGTGTTGATAAAACGTTAAAGTACAATGTTAGGCATAATTTAGCACAGAATTAGCCAAGGAAAAAAGAATTATCAAAAACTACAAATGAAGAACATATTAATTTGTTAACACACAAAGCACAGATCTAGTGTGGCTATTCTTAAAGTGAGTATTGAACTGCAATTCAAGGGCCCTCCTCGGAACTTTTGCTGCGGGCCTCTCACTTGTTTCATCCGGCACTGGCCACACCTCAACAACGCTACGTTTAATGTTGGTTAGATCTATGGAGTTGTGTGGTCGATTCCCATTAAGGAACCCATACCGTCGCTACTAGCAAGACACTAGAGAGCTTGGGTAAGCCCAATCCCGGCAGTATATGTATCAAGCATTTCTTTGGTTTAAAAAAAGGTATATTATATATAGTTATTCAAAACAATAGTGACAATTTCCTATAATGGCTTTTAAGATGATGCTCTTCATTCATAGATATACGGCCAGTTTCAATAATCAAAATCTTATTCTGGTGGTGATTTAAAAAAAAATCTTATTCTGGTGATGATTTTAACAATAGTAGTTACTTTGTCTCAATTTAATAGTACGAGTGTTTTTAGTGGTACGGATTTGTAATAACCTTTTAAGCTCACGTATCAGTCAAAAATTTTTAATTACATTTATTTAAATTACACACTCAACTCATATCTTTTGTGTAATTTATAGATGGAACAATCTTTTACTCCGAAACATATGAACCAAGGAGGTATTTTATTAAACCTTTTATTTAAATTTCGAACTGACTCGCAAATAGAAAGCTGTTTATTGAAAAATAAAACAAACGAATACAAAGCTGTTAGGGCGTGGGGCAAGTCTTAAAAATAAAAAAAATAATACTTTTTCGCACCCGTGCAGAAAAGAGTCACTTTCCGCATAATGTGTATATATTTAAAAGAACACTTTCCGAGCAAGTGCATTTAAAAAAAAATATCTTGACAAGTACGTTGTAGGAAATAGGCCTTTTTAAAAGGCAGTTTCGTGTGTTTGGTTTTTCTGTCGGTTCCATTCGCTCAGCGTGGGCGAAATCTGTTGGTTTTTTCATCTATCTATAGTCAAAGTATGAATGGAAAAATTAGAAGCTGTAAATTATGTATACAAACACTAAAAGCCTAAAGGGGTACGCAGCAATTCATTCGAACAAAAAAGAAATGATCCGTGAAAAAAGCAATCAACCTTGGGAGTTTTTTTATTAAATAGGAATGAACATTACTTCCTGACAGATCATGGGAAACATTGCACGACTTTCCTGTCCGTCCTTTCGTCCATGACACACATAATAAACATTTTCCTAACTTGACAAAAGCATAGTGTATCTAATGTAGCCGTCTGTATGATCGATGGCTAACTGTGGTCGTCCTTGCAGCACCAGTATGAAAAATAAACTAGTCTCCTCATACATGTATATCACATCAATGACTATTGCTCTATCGGATTAGATGCCAACACGACATTAAGGCCATCCATTACTGTGTTTGCACATTTTGATCTTTATTACTTTGTGCAAAAGCTATTTTCTTCTATGGCAATGCAAACTTCAAATGAACACAGTCACAAAAGGCGGTTGCACACAAGCGCGCTGACCCGGTCAGACCCCCTTCTAGATGCTCCATTGATATTTTGCAGAGCGGTTCATTGATGGAATTTTCACTGCTCTTGGAGAAATCGTAGGCAACAAGATTACAATCCTATGGAAATAGAAAACATAGGTTTGCAATAGTTTTAAAATGGAAGTACCTAGTAATTAGCAGTTTTATTTTCTATTTGCAATAACCTTTAAAAATTGGTTTATGAATTGCCTGACATGTTTGTATTCCTTATTGATTTACTAAATTATCCTGAATTTCTGTTTTAGTTGATGCCCTTTTAATTATGAATTAATTAGTATTTTATCTTTATTCTTTAAAAATAAAAATGCAAATAAAAAAAAAACTAATGTAACTGCAGTAACCTACATTACGAGTAACCTTCGAAGTCCCCATAGGACAATTCTGTCGATTCCTTCAAGTTGAAAAATCTTCCATACTCCCGTTTCCCGGGGCGTCTTCTATTTCAGGGGCCGTGTCGGGGGCTGCGTTAGCAACGGCCTCCAAGGGTCCGCTGCAGCGGGCCGCGGGGGTAGCTGACCTACTTCCTCGCTTGCTTGTGCAAGTTCCTGTTCCATTTTCTCAATGACGTCATAACCTCCATTCACCCCGAGGTGCTGAATCGATGCGCCCCAAACTGGGTCGACCTGAATGAACCACTTATGCTCACCATTGAGTGAGGCAGCTATTTTTAGGTGTCCCCGCACGGTCCCAGTCCCCAGGCTTTGGAACCTGTTTTTGCGGATGTATTATAATACGCTCGGCCGCCGCAATTAAATTGTGTGCCATGAATTTCATTTATGACATATCGATGGCCCCTGCAATTTGTATCGAGTTGGATTTCACTGCGCTACGATGGCGTGGTCTTACTTATAATTGTTTCGTCTATGTTATTTATAACCGCGTTTTAATGTAAAACTTGCTTGTCGCAGTGTATTTTTTTTTCTTCTTGTAGGTTCAGCACCTCAAAAGGAAAAAAAACGGAACACTTATAGGGAGCACTTTGTTGTCAGTCTGTATGTCTGTGAAGACCCTTATATAAGGAACGCGTGGAGGTTTCGAGTCCATTCACAGACCAATTAAAGTTGTGAAAATATCGAAGTTTTAAGTTACGTAAAAAAGGTTAGGCTGTTTATGTTGCGTGCGTATCTACGAATTTGTGTGGAATCCTTAGTGGGCGAGGCCGACTCGCACTTGTTCGCTTTTTATTTTTTTTGTTACTAGTATAATATGCAAGCGGCAAGTGGTTTTCTGATAAACTGTTCTTATTTCTTTCAAGTGACTTGTATTCCATAATATATATGAATAAATAGAATCTATAATTTGAGAAATCTAAAATAAGTAAGATGGTGGGATTTACTAGGGCTTTTTAAAAATAATTTATTCTTCAAAGTTCATAGACAGATTTGAAAATTAAACTCTTAAAGATCTAGATTCTAGAAGTTTAAATAGCTGGAAGAAGGAAGAATTAAACATTTAGATCTTGATTTTTTCAAATAGTTTTTCTGTTTTTAGTTTTTCAGTTGAGAAACCAAAATGTATCAAAATAATCATTCACTTTTAATTGATTCAGTGATTAAGTATTTTTTTGTTGTTGCAGATATCGCGAGCGAGTATCGACGCTTGCAAGGATTATTTCCGCGAGGACCTTGTAAAAACCGACTGGCAACTGATGGTGGAATTGAAGAAACTCTTCCAAATCCTGTAACCCGCCTTCCTACGGTCATCTCGCCACCCAACAATAAGACTTCACCCTACTTTCTGTCTGTTCCATCTAACAGTATCTTCAGTTAAATCACAGAATCTCCTGGTACCCACATTTAGCATGCAACTTGAATTCCCATCGAATCGTAGGTGTACTTGCCTTAGCTTTCTTTTATTATTTCTTCAAAACTTTCCCATGAACTGTACTGCGTATTTATTTATTATTTTAGTTGATTAATGAAAGATAAAATGTTATGAATAATATTTTATTTTGGTTTTTTATTAGGCAGTTCTATCACGAGATGTTGTAAATAGTATTATTATTATACACATTATTTATTACATACGGAGGGGTCTATTTTGTTTCAACCTTTGGTATCTTTATGTTTGGACCTACGAGGACAGGGCAGCGCAGGTGTTATCTCGAATACTCCTCCTTTTCCATTTTATGTTTGACACTCGCTTATTGTTTGGGATGATTCAGACTAACAAAGCATTTAAGGACGTCCTGCGCTCGCGTCTATACGCCAAGATTGTAGAGAAACAAAGAAATATCTATATAATTATATCAACGAGTCATCTGTAAATATTCATACGACCTTGTCGCAATAGAGAATTTCTAGTTGCGTGTAAATAAAATAACGTCGAACGGAAATCTATAAGCAACTGTGCTTTTTAACTCTAATAGTGCAATAAACGATCTCATTGATAAATGAATGTGTCTTTGTAGAGCAATGTCTGTTTTCTACGGTGCTTCTTTTGTAGTCGTCTTATACTAAAACTGATGTTTATTCTATGTATCGCACGACGTAGTTGTAATATAACTGGTGTAATTGTGGTAGGCTCATGATGGAGGCACTGTGGGGTCTGTGGAGGTCGTATATTGTACTCGGCTGATGCGCAGTGACATCACGTTTCGTTGTGTCCAATTTTGATGCGAGAAGGCCGCGACGGCACGGACAAGGGTCCTTTTAGTCCTTATTGAAGGTACAGAAGGTTGTATTTTATATGTAGGTATTTTTCCCTTTTTGAAATGCTTTGTATTATATAGATGGAATCGGACATATTCTTATATTGAAGAAATTTTATTAAATTACTTAATACGTAATTTTGGTGGTTTTATTACTATTTTCCCCTCCTGTTATCTTCAACGAATTATAATCGATATGGAATACGAACTGTGCTAAAAAGTGGTTCCATGCAAACTGCGTTCAAGTGGGCGGGGCGAAAAAGTGCGATCAACAAGCCGATCATGAGATTGGTTAAGATTTCCAGTTAACATTATCTTACCCAATGAAAGGATTTGCAGATATTTGATTTGTTAAATAATTTTGGTTTATCTGTGTGCGTGTCGAGTTAGTATTGCAGTTTAGTAGGATGACTTTGGAACCTGTTTTAGTGGCCTTTGATAGAAAGTAATGCTTCCATATAATTTCTAATTTGTTGGTTACCTACAGATTTCGTAATTTTATTACCTAATCATGAAATTTATAGTGAAATTGATTAAGGGTAAAGAAAATTTAAGCACCTAATCTTTGTAGAAAGAATATTAATTCAGAATGTTCAGTAAGTACGAGTACCTACGTTCTGATTTGATGTTACTAAGTTGTCTGAATTTTCTACTAAACTTGTAATTATTTTAATCAATTGACCGGCAAAATTCATACTCGATTTGATAGCTGCAAAGCACGCAAATATTTTTGTCTATTTTTTAAGAGATAAACCAACGGCTCTTGTATTCACAGCACAAGACCACAGCCTGTGATCCTGGGGTAAGTATAAGGTAAGATAGGTATAATAAAGGTATGTACGAAAGTAACTGAAAAGGGGATTTAAAACCTGTTCTGGTTTTTCTGCCAGATCTTGCGGAATCGATGGCATTTTCAGATTTTACAAATTAATAATTGATAAGCAAATTCATTCATTTTTCATTCAAGCGAAATGTAGTAGATAGAACTATGATCCCTGGTCAGATAAGAACCCAATTACTTCATCATCAGTTGATTTAGTGCCCCCACTCATAGGGCAGAGGTCTTTCCTATGGGCAGAAACAGATAAGAAGACCGGGTCGTAAGTAACCCACTACGCGGTCTCAGTACCGATTCTTATACAAATAAATTTCGGGTGCTAACTGACACTATAGATAGTATAAATACACTCGGCGTCAAAAAAATCGCACCTCCGCGAAAATAACTTTCAAGCGTTATTATAACCCTTAACACACGCATTTACCTCCTTTCAAATGACACCAATATTGATGTCATTTGAAAGCCCATTAAATAAACTTAAAAAACAATTTCAATTAATTTATATTTTTTATTGGAACAGTGAAAAAACGAATAAAGTTTACAAAACAATGAAAATGCTTATTTAGCCGTAATTAAAAACTGATTATTTACAAAAAAAGTTCTTTAAACTAATCTTAAACCTAGTGTTACCCCTCCTTGCCCGGATGACGGCTTCCTCATGGATCTTACCAATTTCAATTTTCTTGAGGGATAGACACATTCCTCAACAACGGCCATTTCGAGCTCCTGGAGAGTCGTGGGAGCGGGATCACGAGACCGAATCTTGCGTTTCAAATGGTCCCAGAGGTGCTCTATCGGGTTCAGGTCTGGACTTCTCGCTGGCCACTGCATGACAGAGAACCCAACTTCTTGAAGGTAGTCGCGCACAATTAATGTAGTGTGAGCGCAAACGTCATCATGCATTAATGTGATCCCCTCGCCAACAAAACCTGCATAGGGGACCACATGCTCTTACAGGATCTCTGTGACGTAGGTTCAGATCTGGACTTCTCGCTGGCCACTGCATGACAGAGAACCCAACTTCTTGAAGGTAGTCGCGCACAATTAATGCAGTGTGAGCGCAAACGCATCATCATGCATTAATGTGAACCCCTCGCCAAAAAACCTGCTTCAGGATCTCTGTGACGTACCGGTGAGCAGTCAGCGAAACTTGTCCGCGAGCACCTCCAGTCCGGTAGACGCTTACAAGGCCGGTTATGCCGTCGGGCAACATGCCGCCCCAAAACATACAGGAACTGCCCCCGTATTCCACCGTCTCCTGGATGTAGGCTTGGGCGAAACGTTCCCCCTGTCTTCTGTACCCTCGTCTTGTCTCAAAAGAGAACAGCTCTCCATGGGTCAAGGGTCCAATTGACGTGGTCGCGAGTAAACTGCAAGCGAGCTCGCCGATGTCCTGCGGTCAATTTTGGACCAGTAGCAGCTCTATGAGCCGCTATCTTCTTCTCCCTCAGTCTTCGTCTAACCGTAGAAACGCTCACGGTTAATCTGCGAGCTAACTGGAGCTGTTGTTGCAACTCAACAGCAATAGAGAACTGATTTCTTAGAGATGTCGATACGATGAGTCGGTCGTGTTTCTCCGAGGTGCAGCGACGTCTACCAGACCCATGCCTCCGGACATGGCCACCGGTCTCCAGGAACAAGTAGAAAATATTTTCTAGTATTTATGACCTTTTTGCAGGTAAAGTCTTTTATTAATACTACTATATTTGTATATATTTGATATGGTCTCATTAGAACCTTTCAAATGATACTTACCGCAATTTAAATATTAAGAAGCTTTTTTTTAATTTACATAAATAATTGTCAATTTGGCATTGCTGTTATTTCAATTTCAACAGTCTTAGGTATCCTATGTTACCCGGGATGCTAAAAGGATTCTAACGATACCACACACACACATCTAAATCGGTTCAGGTGTTTAGAAGTTATGGTGGAATAAAGAATCATACGTACATACATACATGAACCCTGTATACATTACACTTTTTTTGGGAAGCCGTGTAAAAATACCTTGGTATTACTCTTATGAAATTGGGTCCCGCTAGCTTATCTCTGCATAAATGGCAAAATACCCCTTTTCCCCATGGTTACATAATTATTTTTACTAAATTGTTATGTACGTAATATGTATGTACGAAAAGAGCGTGACCGGTTACTCTTTAAGGAAAAATTGGGAAAATCTTAGAAATGTACGGTCCGATAAACTGTAAGTAATTAGTATTTTTATTGATGTTTGGTACTTTCATATTAATAAGGCATCGAATCTTCACTATTGTTTTTTAATCTTGCAGCTTCTTGCTTTAATTCATGAGTAAAGTCAGCGACTGTCACTGCATTTTTTTGCCTGTAATTTAAGCTACATCACATCAGTCATTAGCGATCTTTACTAGCAGATGATGGGTTCCAATTGTTTTCTCCTCTGCAGTTTCGAATAACTAAAAAATCATAAAAAGGAGGCAAGAGCAATTTTATATGAATAACATGGGTTCTGTTCTTTTCCGTTTGGAATACGGAACCCTAAAAAGATACGAAATCTTGTCTTACCGAGCCACAACGGAAATTACTGTAGAAACGAATATTATTGACGGACACCCCTGAGAACTTCTATAAACCATATACACTCAACATATTAAAATAATAAAAAACAAATAAGTTATATAGTAAACTAGGGAAATCAAGCCAAGTACCGAAATTATGGATTAGATTCAGGTATATAAGGCATGTACATTAACAGATAGTTGCCTGTTTTTAAAGTTAATGCATAAGAGTAACTTTTAAAATCAGGTGTCATTTCCGGTTATAATAAAGTACTCTGTGACAGACACTGATGCCAATTCTGGCGTGATTCTCTAAACTTAAAACTAAATTTAACATCAGTCTCTCCTTTTCATTCTGTATAGAGAACGACAAGGATATACTGCTGTCAAATTTAAGTTTAGGTTTAGAGAATCATGCTAGAATCGACACCACTGTGTGATGATTGTGAATGAGCCACAGATTAGAGAGAATTTTTAAACTCTCGTTAACCAAAGAAAGCTAAGAGATTAAGGTTTTATAGCCATTTATTCAGTTGCTTCATTATTTTTGTTATGTTTTTAAGATAACCATATTTTAGATTTTTAGTGTATCACATCTTATAATTTTATTAATTTATAGTCAGGGAACGTAGGCCCATAGATAGATAGATACCTTAAAGTCTAACATATATACAGATTATAATGTGTTTATGGAGGTGTTTGGCGAAAAATGTATGGCAATAGACTTTATGATGTCGCCTACCATCTATATTAATTGTCTGAGCACATTTGCATCTAGTGAAAATGATAATATGGTTGTGGATATTAATACCACAGGGTAATAAAAAAAATGATTTATTTTATCGATCTTTACAAAATAGATTTGTTTTTATGTTATATAAACAACTTCGATCAGTCTTTGGCTGAATGTTACTACACCCATAGCCATTAAAAATGATTCGTATGTTTTCCAAACCGGTAAAATTAAAAGTCCTTTTTAAAGTAAATATATTATACAAAGGTGTCCGTTGAAATCTAATGACTGTAAATTAAATTATAAATTACGCCAAGAATTACCGTGTATGTCAATATTTTTTGTGCATTTAGGCCAATTTGAGCAATCTCCTTACCCCACTTTTAGGAAAAAATTCCCGTAAAAAAGTAGCCACACTGTTGTATTTTTTGTTTTGAATTTTCCTCACACTAAATAAAATATAATTTATAAAAATTATCACGATTCGTCATTACTTAAGCATGGTAGGTGATGCATTATGACTTTTTAAATTATCTAGTGTGGTTTTTTACATGATATCATAACACAAGATGGCATATTTTAAAAATTTCGTCGGAGCAATTGAACGTGTGACTGGCTCTGTCACGCGGAGTCAAATGGCAGGGGTTTGTCTGACCAGCCCCCCTAGCTTAAGCACCGCGATATGATATAGAACGCGTTTTTATCACACACAATTGTCAAATTACTATGGAGTTTGACAGTTAGACGCGATATAATGTAAATTGTAGTGCTCATGCTACAGGGACTGGTGCATTTGTGTGAGTGTAGGTAGTGTACATCAAACGAAATTATAGGACATTGCATGCTTCACATCATTTAAGTTCGATGTTACGTCCGTCTTTTTTCAGGTCCGTGTTTCAACATAAAAACGGACCAGATCTGTAATTTTAACATGACACTGTCTATTAGACCAACTCCAACTCTCTTATTTCCACATTAAAAACGCAGACTGCGAGGCCAATCCGCAAATTCTGCGTATTTACATGCTCTT